TGTCTACCCATAACACATTAAAAAAATAACCACGATGCATTTTTGGTGTAATATGAATGTTAATAAATAAAAAAAAGTCACAAAAAATGTGTTTTGTTTTTTGGTGAATACCCTCAGAAAAATTTAAATAGTTCGAGAACGAAATAGCATTTTTTCCAACAGTTTGCGGAAAAATTCTTAAAACTCTTTCCTCTACAACATATCTCAAATCGAACAAAATCTAACAACCTCGATTAAGCAACTTCAGTCGTGGCTTTTATGGACTGAGTGAAAAAAAAATCAAATAAAAAGAAAATAGAAGAAATAATAAGTATTCTCTTTATGACTTCAGAATTTGTACTTTCTAACTTTTAAACTATACTCGAAATTCTTCTATTTGTTGATAAAAAATAAATGATCATAAAAGAACTTAACCAATTTAAGATGTTAATTTTTCTTTTCATTTTTACAAAAAAATGTTTGTGCTAATATTTAAACATAACATGTGTTTTTCTTCTTCTTTCAAAAGAATTTATCATGTTACGAACATCAAACAATCATAAACATAAATCAAATGGATATTTAAATATTCCTTTTATTTTTTGTGGATCATTTAAGACACGATCAACAAAAACAACAACAATAAATGATCATCATCTTTTTTATTCAAATGAAACAGAATTAGGATTGTTTGATAAATAGACAAAAAGTTACTTGGCCTTGTTCTTTATTTCAAGTAATCAAATATCTTATCATACAGCTTCCATCAATACGTTCATCATTGTCAAACAATCTATTCGACATTGGTATGAAGGATATATATATTCTTTATTTTGGTTGTAAAATCTATTTAAGAAAAATAATTCGTTTTTCTGTCAAATATAGACAAATTTGATTTCTTTTTCAGTTAATTCTCATCAAACAAAATTTAATTATTATGCACAAGAAAGTGTTGATTGTTTTTCACATTTTGTTCATTTACCTAATGTAACGTAAATAGAATTTCGACCAGCGTTTGGTACTACTCTATGAAGAAATATTCAATATATACTACAGTAAGTACTGTTAATATGTATTGAAGTAATATTTCGTTTTTGACTAGTCTCAAAGAAAATCTTTTTTTTTTGAAGATCTTCAAATCGATTCTATAATTCTTAAAAGAAGAAGAATTTCTATTTCAAAAAGAAATGATTCTATTCCATTTTAGAGCATGTCCAAATGTGATGAATCTTATAATTAGTAGTGAATATTTACTTTTATCAGAATTAATCGATAATGAATTTCTTATTCCAATTTTCAAGCAAATTAAAATAATCGAATCAATAACAAATAATATTTATTTTCCTTTAAATTGTGCATCACAATTTCTTGAACGTTTTCCATCACTTAGTCATATTGAACTTCAAGTGTGCTTATTTGATGATTATGTACATCTTATTGAGATATTTATTATTCATTTAACAAATTTATCTGATCTTAACATTAATTATAGACAGGATACATTACTCGATGATTCTGTTACATGTGATTATCTTATTAAAAAACGTCGTCAAACATTTCCTAATCATATTCTCAATGAACAAAGAATTAATGCTAAAAATAATGGAAAAACTATAGAAATTTGGTTATTATGATTTTTTTATGTACATATAGATTTTTCTTGTTGTTGTGTAAATATTATTAATAAAATGATCATGAAATAAACATGGCTTTGGAGTTATTTTTTTTTTGTTTCTCTACGAACAGCGATTATGTCTCATTGCTTATATAATTTTCACGAGTAGAACGGGAAAGTAAATTTCAATTGATGAGCTATGCATCATTTTCAGATGAAATAAAGATGAAGTTTGTTGTTTTTTTTACTTTTCAAACTGAGAAAATAAGGAAAAGAATGCTTTTTAACATTTAACTCATTGGTTTTTCTACCACTCATTGTTTAATAGAATGACATTAGAGGTTTAAATCGATCAGTAGAGATTGCGAGAAAACTTTTTCAGAGATCTAATCGCTTTTCAATGGACACGATGTTTATTTCATAAGCCTTATCGAGTAAGAGAAAAGTCTAGAATAGTCTGGTTTTCTGAATGTTCGTTCTCGAGTTCTCGAAAATTTACTGGGTTTTAAAAAGACAAGCTGTCGCGATCTCACCCCTCAGGTAACTGGGAAAATCGACTTTCGAGTTTCCACTTCAAACTTTAGACGAATAGAGTTCTTAATAAAAATTAGTGAATTGTGCAAGTTTTAGTTTTTCTAATATTTTCTTTCGCAGATATAAATACCTGAATGACATTCATTTTTATACATGAGACAATTTCGAATCTTCAATATCTTAGGATAGGAGGTATTAGAAAAACTACAACTTGCTCAGTGGTCTAATATCATTAAGCATTCTGCGTGTACAAATTTTGAAATGAAAACTCGAAAGTCCTTTTTCAGTAATCTGACGGGGAATCACAGTTTTTTGTTGACAAACCTAGTAAAATCTCCATGTCACAAGAAGGAAGACTTTCAAAACCAAACCATTCTAGACTTTTCTATTACTCATTAAAGCTCATCGAATGAACATCGCCTTGATGGAAAAGCAGCAATTGGAGGGTGTGGATGTATCGGTGGGTATAGCTGTGGATGTGAGTGTAGATATGGACTGTGTGGGTGCGGATGTAGGTGTGTGTTTGAATAAAAAGAACGCACTCGCAGGGAAACAGATACATTCATACCTCCGACTCACATGAGTTCGAGACCAACTGGGCAGGCTCTACTGATAACGCTAGAGTGGAACGAAGTGTTGATGTTAAATGCTATGATTGTCGATATATGCATGAATGCTTTTTCCATTGAGATAATATATGTTTATCCTTGAGATAATTCATTTTTCTCTTCATGCTCTCAATCAGTTGATCAATTTTCATTAGAAACAGTATGAGTGTGGATGTGTATTGTGTAGTGTGGGTGAGGTGTGAATGTGGTTATGATTGAAAGGAAAACAGTACTCAAACCCACACCCTTCCATTCCAGTGACGGAGCCAGAGGATTAGGGAATTCAGCCCCTCCTACGAACTTTTAAGCCTCCATTAGCGAGATTTTTGATATGTGTATTTTATCCATGAGAGGAACTCAGCCCTCTCTACGGATCTGTGAGCCACCCTAATGAACAAAATGCACGCATCAAAAATTTCGTTGCGAGAGGGGAGGACGCCGAGCCCCCATAGCCCAAAATCCTGGCTCCGCCACTGTTCCGTTGGAGTCGAATGTCGTACCGATCTCCACAACCAAACGTACAAATACTCGTAACTCATCCCAGTGAGTACATGTCGTTCCATCAACAGCACTTGTCATTATCCAATAATTGTCGCAAAGAACGACAATTTCGAAATTTTTAAGTTTGCGAAGGCATTGAACATCATTTTCTCGTATCTCATACGTAAGGACCACAGTCATCAACCGTTCTTCTTCAATTGCATTAAGCTCTACAATAAGATATGACAGATTCTCTGCTAAATGACACCCACACGTAAGAATTGAAAACTGTTTACTACCATTAGACGGTGATCAATTTTTTTGTAAGATAAAGAGAGAAACTATAAAATCGATACTATATATTTTCAAAAACCAAAGAATAACATAGATAAAGAAATTCTATGCAGCATGTTTTATTCTTCTATGGATATCATCACAAAATCATAGATATAAAGAAAAACGAATCACATTCGGATCACAAAACATATTTTTGTTTACTACGCGGTATGAGACAGTAAATGACAGCATAGAATGCTACAAAATAATAACTCTGAAATAGTTCACAGAAAATGAATATACACCAAAAATTAGGATCAATGATATCCATAATATCAGCTATCAGTATGGCCTTAGCTTTTCTTATAGTAGCATACTAGTACAAAGAAATTTTACATATTGTGAGAAACGTTTCGTTCTATATTGACCGATTTCATAGTCAAATATCTCTTACAACTGACATTTGACTAAACTACATCAGTCGATCACGTTCTACCCAATAGCTGGGATTGAATAGAACAAGTTGATAGTGATCTGTTACCACACACTACTCATCTAGTGTTATGATTGAGAAATGTTTCTAAGTAAAATCTCAGTTTTTTGTTCTCTTGTTCGATTTTTCATATATTTTGTGCTCCAGTTCACAGTTCCAGACAGGTAATGCATCTAGATGATGTCTTTTAAATTTTGACTGATATTATTAAGCTTGACTTATAGAATCGATTGAGATCCATTTATGGTAGCCAGTTTGTTGTTTCCTAGCGAGCATACTCTAGACAAAGTTTCGATTAATCTCAATCTAAGATTCTCTTACTAATCCTGTAGTGTTGAACAATCGAGAGAGAAAGCATAAATCTCTAGCGTTAATCTCCTGTTTGCAATTGACTTCCTGAACGATGAGATAGACTTAATGCATGCAATAGTTGAGCACAATAACTTTTTATTTAATTCTATCGAGTTCAATTGCATGTGTCGCTTTTGATACGCGCAAATAATCGAGATTTATAAAGCTTTTCTAGCATAACAATTTTTACTTACACAAGCCGTCCGGAACTATTTGTGCTTGCCCATCAAAACTGGAAACATTTTCGTCGATGGACTCTCGACTAGGTTCAGTAGAAACAGTGAATGACCGACTTCGGTTTTGCACAGAAATATTAGATAGTGTCGTCGTTAAATTATTAGAATTTGAAGTCATGCATTTTATCTGAAAGAAATTGACAATGAAACATCTTTGCTCATACAAGAGACGTCTACCATGTGCCATCATCAATACCATGTTTATTTTCGCTACTTACTGAAGCACTTTTGCTTCCATCTCATCTGATACTAAACAAAAATGTTTAGCAATTGTATCGTCTACAATAGTTTTGTTCTGCATGTCCATATCGAAGTGTTGATTTTTGTCGGAATGTTTTTCATTCAGAAGAGAATCTATACAACCCAAGTATGTGTGCGTTACGGTTTTACTGGCATCGAATTTTTGTTCTGTACGTTGCTTTCAAGTCGCATTTGGAATTTTTTCTTTTCAGCTAGTTCCACTCGATAGAGTTGAAGTAAATTACATTTTATTTTCTTCATGTATAGGTAACAATTTAGAATCGATCGCTCTGTTACTGCACATGATTTGACTTCTCAGAAAAAAAACATTCAAGAGTGTGTATGACAGAGGTCGGAGTATGAGTGTGGGTTTGACCATTCTCTTAATCCATACCCTAAACCCACACTCTCCTATGAAGCTTTGGGAGAGTATATTTATTCAAATTTAATTTATGTTTCTTTTTTCAAATGGCCTCAGTTCAATTCAAATAGTCATTAGTCCAGAACTCTTACTCGTATGAACTGCTGATCGCAAGATTTGCATCAAGCAATATTCAATTAGTATGATTAGGTGCAACAGATCGGGCGTCATATGATCATGGTTTTATAAGAGGAAAATAGTTTTTGAATTTTTATATCGAGACAGACGAACTCTTTGCCAGTATTTTCATATGAAGAAATCCAATATGATTTTTTTTCTATTAACCTCTTTGTATATCTGTTGTGTCTGTTATTTATTTGATTAAATTAGTAAATTGAATGAAGGCATTAATAATTGTTTTCTTATTCAAACGATTAATGTGGAAAATCACCTATTGTAATCAATTTAAATTAAATAGTCTGGTTGCTTTGCCTTTTATTTTGAAATAGGAACAATGTTTGACCTTTTCACGGTCATGTAAAACAATTGAGAAAGTTCGTTTTCAAGAAAAAGTGCATTTTGATCAGAGACTTCTCTTTAGGTTCTCTAATAGAGTAGAGCTAAGTTCAAATTTTTAGTTTCTGAAAGGTTTTTTCTAATAAATCTGTAGAAATCCGAAATGATAAATACTGCTGAAAGGTATGCGTGTGGATGTTAATTGAGAGTGAGTCGAATGATTCGTTTATTATTTTTGGCAGAAAGCAATCTTTTTACTTTTTTTTATCTATCTTCTTTTTCTATCGTTCGTTTTATTTTAATATCTTTCAACTGTGGGCTTTGTGAAAAGAAATTACACTTATCAAAATTAAAACATTCAAGATAACAGAACAACGAAAAAAATATTCTCATACAAGGAAGTTCATTTCAAATAGAGTGTGCACAAGAATATGGACCTTGCTTGTGATTATAAAGAATATCCACATCCATACCAACACTTTATGATCAACATGTATTATGCTTATAATTATTAGTGTAAACTGGTTGACTGACCAGTCACCGCCGACAGGGCGTGGATGATTAAAGGAGAATAACCCACACCCACACCCACCCACACCCACACCAGCCACCCACACGCTCAAGAATAAAAAGCTCATAGTTTACATTGATTATCCTTAAAACAAATTAGAATTTTGTTCGATGAACATCTATCGATTGATAATTCTATCATCGTCAATGTTTAATTTAGTTGAAGAATAAACTATTTCTTGAACTTTTTGTTGTTGTTGTGACGTCCAAGCAGATCCACTTCATCGTTTTTCATGTATTACTATATTAACATTTCATGTTTCAGACTAGTCTTATGTTGATTGATAATATATATTTGAAAAGTCAGGGTTAATCTCAACAGAAAAGAAATTATACTATGGGTCCACACATGAA